GTAGATATAATAAATTAGGACCTATGAGTATAATTAGTGTTACTTGATGGAGTTCATTAGCTATAATATGTTACTTCAATTGTTGGCACATTTGAAAAGGGGATGAATGAAATTGGGTTGAGTGAATGTTAAATAACCCAAGTGAAATTGGAATTCCTAACCACTTAATTCCAATAGTTTCTCCTCAAATTAGGTTATTTAGGTTAGGTTAAATCAGGACAGTATAATTTAGTTAAATACAAACACTTGATTTGTTAATTTGTTACTACATCAATTTAGATTGAAACTAGAATTGAAATAATGCTGATTGTAAATATTAGTCTATGTGAAAAGGACAATTCGGACCCTTAGGTCAATTTTATTATTTATTACGATCAAATAAAATAGAGAACTGTGTGACCTACTGGAAACTTTATGTAAAGTTCAATGATCATTCAAATTTTTAATCCAACGATTCAGTGGTAGTTGTGGAATTTGAAAAGATATGGATGTTGGGTCCTGTTATTACGGTTAACTCGTCACTATTATGTGGAGGGATTTTTTTCCCTGTTGGATCCCTATTTCCCTTACTAAATTCGAGGATTAAAATTGCCATCGCCCTCGCGTAGAAATCATCCTTCGTCGTTGCTACAACCATCATTGCTCCCTACCTCACCTAGTATAGTATTACATAATGATACTCTGGTGCCATTTGTGAGTATTGTGGTCCTCCTAACACTATTGGGTTGGTGCTATTTGTGTCATTTGTTATATGACTTATTATTCTTGGGCCTTAGCTACTTAGTTGTCATTCAACTACTAGTAACTTTGGTATTGACCCGATTATGTTAGATTGATTTAATTGTGAGCCTTGATGAAGATCAATGGCTGGGATTAAACTTGGCTAGATATTTTCCTTATATTCATGTGGGTTCAGTACTTTGAGGCTTCTTCCTTCTTCGAGACTCTTCTCCCTGTCTTTCATTCCTGTCTTATCTCTGCCTTTACGATTTGAGGCTGTCTTCCTCTTTTCTTCCTTTGACCACGTAAAATTGATCTTTAGTCCAAGTGATCTTTTGAGGCTTCTTCCTTCTTCGAGACTCTTCTCTCTGTCTCTCATTCCTGTCTTCTCTTTGCCTCTATGATTTGAGGCTGTTTTCCTCCTTTCTTCCCTTGACCACATAAAATTGATCTTTAGTCCATTAATTGAAGAGATTCCTGTGTGTTCTTAGGCCTGAAATAGTGGCTAAGGATTAGGTCTTCTCGGGGGCTTAGGTCAGTGGTTTTGGGCGTTATTCTTGGCTACAATGGTAGACCATTTGGTCGATGATCCAAGCCAAGTGGGAAGCATTCTTTGCCGGTTTTTATGCTCTTTCTGGAGGGCGATTTGCAAGCATGAGAGGCTATTCCCGAGCTTAGACATTTCAGCCAACAAGAAAGGAAGATGAACATGTTATTTGAGATGGTAAAAGGGAAGGAACTTTTTGCACCTTTTTCGATTCTGCCTTTATTTATGTTTAGTTTCTCAATTCTTTGGTTCTATGATTTCTGTTGCTTTTTCCATGTTATGATCATGCTAGATTAGATTGGTGAATACTGATTTCAATATATGTGAATGTATGTTGGAGATTCTTGTGATTGCTGAATCTGTTGGTTATTGAATTCGGTTATTCTGATGTTGAACTGGGTTAGTCTCTGTTGATATCTGCATATGCTGCTGTAAATTCCTAACACCATTACAAGTGTTTCTTCTTCTGCTGTAAATGAAAAGCAGAAGTTATGTGTGTAACACGCTTTGTT